ACTTTTGTGCTTTTCTCTTTACAACTGTGAGGTCATATCTTTTGGATCACGATAAGCGATATGACGTCATAATGGTGACGTGCGGTGATGAACAGAAGCTTTGTTTGCTTTGTTTTCTTTAGTGTTGTCCACCTCATGTTAGCTTTCCAAGTTGCCGTGTTTATCTGCTGTCACTGCCTGTCGTATGTTTGAGTGAAATATTACGGTGTAAACAAACTGCTGGAGCATAGTGAGCGCCATATTTACTTTAAAGGATGTTGTTGGTGATTCCGTAATTCAGATCGACAACCCACTCAAAACACTAGACTCAACCCAGGCCACTTCATACATGTGCTAGCAAAGAGTTGCCATTTTATTTAGTAATGGTAGAGTGGAGATAAATGTACTGTGTTTTCAATGTAGAGCTAGGCACAGGAGTCCGTATCTAAAAATAGACGCCCTCATGTGGAGATGGTCATGAATATGCATGAGGGCGTCTATTTTTAGATACGGACTCCTGTGAGCTAGGTTACTTGTAGATTTAACCGCGCTAAACTTAACATTTGAAACCTCACACTGCGTGTTCGGTTCCAAGTTCAGTTTAGAGGAGTTAAATCTACAGGTAACCAATTCTGCATTGAAAACACAGCATGCTTAGCTCCTATGTGATCTGACATGGAAGGTTGCAATGAAGAGTCAGTGAGTGGCAAGACTGGGGTTAGCGTGATAAGCAATCAATTAAACCTGATAATGACAATGTAGCATTGTGCAGACAAAGGACTGGTATTTGCTACAAAAAAAAATATAAAATAACACCCCACTTGAAAGGTTATCTTGCACATGTAATGCAATCATTCTGCACAGCTCAAGTAGCAATCTGTCACCATGAAGAGTCGTGAACCTCAACTTGGAGAACGGAAGTTAGAACATTAAATTACAAATACACTTATTATCAAAAGTCATGCTAATGGAATACCCACACTCATGTCGAACTACTGACTAATATTTCTGTTGACTAATTTAGGAAATTGATTGTAGGAAATTTGATAGCATGCAAATTGAAATTTGTAACGTAGATTATTCTGGGTGTAACACTGCACTTATCAATATTCAAGCTATATGACGGCGGTCTGTAAATAATCGAGTCTGGACAAGACAATACATGATTGACATCATGAGCATCACTCCACACAATTGGGATACGATGACATGCATCAACCAAGTCAGCGAGTCTGACCACCCGATCCTCTTAGTCGCCTCTTACGACAAGCATGGGTTGCTGAAGACCTATTCTACCCCGAAGCTTCACGGGTCCTTAGAATTTGTCACACAAGACCCACATTGGAAGCAAACACTGTCACACCAACACCTTGACACCCGAAAACACTGTCACACCAACACCTTGACACCCGAAAACACTGTCACACCAACACCATGACACCCGAAAACACTGTCACACCAACACCATGACACCCGAAAACACTGTCACACCAACACCATGACACCCAAAAACACTGTCACACCAATACCATGACACCCGAAAACACTGTCACACCAACACCTTGACACCCAAAAACACTGTCACACAAACACCAAGACACCCGAAAACACAGTCACACCAACACCAAGACACCCGAAAACACAGTCACACCAACACCATGACACCCGAAAACACTGTCACACTGACACCATGATACCCGAAAACACTGTCACACCAACACCATGACACCCAAAAACACTGTCACACCAACACCATGACACCCGAAAACACTATCACACTGACACCATAACACCCAAAAACACTGTCACACCAACACTATGACACCCGAAAACACTGTCACACCAACACTATGACACCCGAAAACACTGTCACACCAACACTATGACACCCGAAAACACTGTCACACCAACACTATGACACCTGAAAACACTGTCACACCAACACCTTGACACCCCAAAACACTGTCACACTGACACCATGACACCCGAAAACACTATCACACTGACACCATAACACCCAAAAACACTGTCACACCAACACTATGACACCCGAAAACACTGTCACACCAACACTATGACACCCGAAAACACTGTCACACCAACACTATGACACCCGAAAACACTGTCACACCAACACCTTGACACCCCAAAACACTGTCACACTGACACCATGACACCCGAAAACACTGTCACACCAACACCATGACACCCGAAAACACAGTCACACCAACACCATGACACCCGAAAACACTGTCACACCAACACCATGACACCCAAAAACACTATCACACCAACACCATGACACCCAAAAACACTGTCACACCAACACCATGATACCCAAAAACACTGTCACACCAACACCATGACACCCAAAAACACTGTCACACCAACACCATGACACCCAAAAACACTATCACACCAACACCATGACACCCGAAAACACTGTCACACCAACACCTTGACACCCCAAAACACTGTCACACTGACACCATGACACCCGAAAACACTATCACACTGACACCATAACACCCAAAAACACTGTCAAACCAACACTATGACACCCGAAAACACTGTCACACCAACACTATGACACCCGAAAACACTGTCACACCAACACTATGACACCCGAAAACACTGTCACACCAACACTATGACACCCGAAAACACTGTCACACCAACACCTTGACACCCCAAAACACTGTCACACTGACACCATGACACCCGAAAACACTGTCACACCAACACCATGACACCCAAAAACACAGTCACACCAACACCATGACACCCGAAAACACTGTCACACCAACACCATGACACCCAAAAACACTATCACACCAACACCATGACACCCAAAAACACTGTCACACCAACACCATGATACCCAAAAACACTGTCACACCAACACCATGACACCCAAAAACACTGTCACACCAACACCATGACACCCAAAAACACTATCACACCAACACCATGACACCCGAAAACACTGTCACACCAACACCTTGACACCCGAAAACACTGTCACACCAACACCATGACACCCGAAAACACTGTCACACCAACACCATGACACCCGAAAACACTGTCACACCAACACCATGACACCCGAAAACACTGTCACACCAACACCATGACACCCGATAACACTGTCACACTGACACCATGATACCCGAAAACACTGTCACACCAACACCATGACACCCGATAACACTGTCACACCAACACCATGACACCCGAAAACACTGTCACACCAACAACATGACACCTGAAAACACTGTCACACCAATACCATGACAACCTCGCAAGCTCCGAAGTTCATACAATTTGGCCCTGACTCTATGAATGTTCATCCCGACATCCCCGTTCTACCCCACAAAGGCTAGTCTGTCTCCACACACCCTCATAAACATCCCCCGACATCCCCGCTCTACCCGACAAAGGCTAGTTTGTCTCCACACACCCTCATATACACACACCCGACATCCCCGCTCTACCCGACAAAGGCTAGTCTGTCTCCACACACCCTCATATACACACACCCAACATCCCCGCTCTACCCCACAAAGGCTAGTCTGTCTCCACACACCCTCATATACACCCCCCGACATCCCCGCTCTACCCCACAAAGGCTAGTCTGTCTCCACACACCCTCATATACACACACCCGACATCCTCGCTCTACCCCACAAAGGCTAGTCTGTCTCCACACACCCTCCTATACACACACCCGACATCCCCGCTCTATCCCACAAAGGCTCGTCTGTCTCCACACACCCTCATACACACCCCCCCGACATCCCCGCTCTACCCCACAAAGGCTAGTCTGTCTTCACACACCCTCATATACACACACCCGACATCCCCGCTCTACCCCACAAAGGCTAGTCTGTCTCCACACACCCTCATATACACACACCCGACATCACCGCTCTACCCCACAAAGGCTCGTCTGTCTCCACACACCCTCATATACACACACCCGACATCCCCGCTCTACCCCACAAAGGCTAGTCTGTCTCCACACACCCTCATATACACACACCCAACATCCCCGCTCTACCCCACAAAGGCTAGTCTGTCTCCACACACCCTCATATACACCCCCCCGACATCCCCGCTCTACCCCACAAAGGCTAATCTGTCTCCACACACCCTCATATACACACACCCGACATCCCCGCTCTACCCCACAAAGGCTAGTCTGTCTCCACACACCCTCATATACACACACCCGACATCCCCGCTCTACCCCACAAAGGCTAGTCTGTCTCCACACACCCTCATATACACCCCCCCGACATCACCGCTCTACCCCACAAAGGCTAATCTGTCTCCACACACCCTCATATACACACCCGACATCCCCGCTCTACCCCACAAAGGCTAGTCTGTCTCCACACACCCTCATATACACACACCCGACATCCCCGCTCTACCCCACAAAGGCTAGTCTGTCTCCACACACCCTCATACACACCCCCTCGACATCCCCGCTCTACCCCACAAAGGCTCGTCTGTCTCCACACACCCTCATATACACCCCCCCGACATCCCCGCTCTACCCCACAAAGGCTCGTCTGTCTCCACACACCCTCATATACACCCCTCCGACATCCCCGCTCTACCCCACAAAGGCTAGTCTGTCTCCACACACCCTCATATACACCCCCCCGACATCCCCGCTCTACCCCACAAAGGCTAATCTGTCTCCACACACCTTCATACACACACCCCCGACATCCCCGCTCTACCCCACAAAGGCTCGTCTGTCTTCCAAATGCCAGAGAATACGTTAAACAAAAAGTCCAACTCCCGATTTGGCAAGTCTAGATTGCCTCAGATCTGGCTGAAATTAAGCATTGTTCTTGGCTCCATTTAAATAATATTTTTCCATTTGTAGATACATTTTTATAAATTATATCTTTTAGTCTATGGCAAGTCTTTTTTTATAGTTTTCCATTTTGTAAATATATGATTAAAAATATTATCTCTGGGACTGCAGGTCTTACTGTCACACCTACCTTCCCTGTTCAAGCAGCAGAACATCCGTCACGCCCCTCTCCGCCAAGTGGTACGCCACGGAGGCCCCCACTACACCGCCGCCACAGATGACCACCCTAGCTGTCTGGGGTACGGAGGACACGCCCGTGCAGTACCTCCTTCTGTCTAGTGTCCCACTGCTCAGCCCTACATATTGCTTCGTGATACACTCCACAGACCATTTCCTGCTTGCAGCTCTGGGTGCAGGGATCCATGCCCTTGTTAGTGAACAGCATCTGGACAGAGAGCCTTGATACATCTTGATAGTCAGGATCCTGGCGCTTGAGCTCCACTCTGCCTCACAGTCCTCAGCGATATCCCATCAAGGTAAGGCTGCTTGTGTGGGATCATCTATTGCATTAATCCATTGCTTGGTATGACCCGACGTGTCTACCTGTTGAATAAACAGTAACCAGTTTACACCTTTCTAGCTTCAGCATTCACAAAGCTTCTGTACGCCTGGCCCTGCACACACAACTATAACAGTACAAGAGAATGGTTCCATGCATCGAACATGATGAACGAATGCACAAGGTGTTACTTCAAGTGGCATGTACAAGACTGGCCACTTGTCCATGTCAACTCAACCTTCTGTCTGCCTTGACAGCTCAGTTAATATACATATAACACAAAATGATACTGAAATGTATGTCAAACTTAAGTTTGGGGAAAAAGAAGATTATGACAAGACTTGACACCCCAAAGACATCAACCAACCCCAAAGATTAAACACGACAGTGTTATACTGAGGTGGGTGTCCAAGGTTGAAACATGGCAGTGTTATACTGTGGTGGGTGTCCTAGGTTGAAACATGGCAGTGTTATACTGTGGTGGGTGTCCTAGGTTGAAACATGGCAGTGTTATACTGTGGTGGGTGTCCTAGGTTGAAACATGGCAGTGTTATACTGTGGTGGGTGTCCTAGGTTGAAACATGGCAGTGTTATACTGTGGTGGGTGTCCTAGGTTGAAACATGGCAGTGTTATACCGTGGTGGGTGTCCTAGGTTGAAACATGGCAGTGTTATACCGTGGTGGGTGTCCTAGGTTGAAACATGGCAGTGTTATACCGTGGTTGGTGTCCTAGGTTGAAACATGGCAGTGTTATACCTAGGTGGGTGTCCTAGGTTGAAACATGGCAGTGTTATACTGTGCTGGTTGTCCCCAGGCTTGAGAACTGAATCCCTTGTCTGTCCCTTTAAGTACACCCAGAACCATTCTTGTACTGTCCCTTTAAGTACACCCAGAACCATGCATGTACTGTCCCTTTAAGTACACACAGAACCATGGATGTACTGTCCCTTTAAGTACACACAGAACCATGGATGTACTGTCCCTTTAAGTACACCCAGAACCATGGATGTACTGTCCCTTTAAGTACACACAGAACCATGGATGTACTGTCCCTTTAAGTACACACAGAACCATGGATGTACTGTCCCTTTAAGTACACACAGAACCATGCATGTACTGTCCCTTTAAGTACACACAGAACCATGCATGTTCTGTTCCTTTAAGTACACACAGAACCATGCATGTACTGTCCCTTTAAGTACACACAGAACCATGGATGTACTGTTCCTTTAAGTACACACAGAACCATGTATGTACTGTCCCTTTAAGTACACACAGAACCATGCATGTACTGTTCCTTTAAGTACACCCAGAACCATGGATGTACTGTCCCTTTAAGTATCACAGAATCATGGATGTACTGTCCCTTTAAGTACACCCAGAACCATGGATGTACTGTCCCTTTAAGTAACACAGAATCATGGATGTACTGTCCCTTTAAGTACACCCAGAACCATGGATGTACTGTCCCTTTAAGTACACACAGAACCATGCATGTACTGTCCCTTTAAGTACACCCAGAACCATGGATGTACTGTCCCTTTAAGTACACACAGAATCATGGATGTACTGTCCCTTTAAGTACACACAGAATCATGCATGTACTGTCCCTTTAAGTAAAATATTTACAATGCTTTCAGGGTGAACACACTACATAACCTGGGTATTATGCTCCTTCGTCTGCCAGTGTTCAAAGGGCGGCTGCTAAGATTAAAGGGGCACTGATCTAACGGACTGGTTGTTGCCTTTGTTATTGTTTTTCCCCCGAGAGTACCCGGATGATACGCAACGCAACTGAGCATGACCAGAGACTGGGCTACCGTCTGCAAGGACAGCTAAATAAACTTGGAGGCTGGAGGCAATATTTGTTTTACGCATTTTTGAACACTGATTGGTTAACTGTGATCTATAAAGATTTCGACAAAGGGCGCATGTTAATTCATTTCTTCAGCCTAAACAAACAGACAAAAAGAACAAGGGAGCTCATCGGATGTCGTCATTTGGAAATACCCCAGATGGTTATAGTTTAATACTAAAAACAGTATCCATGCAGTGAAAGCATTTTCGGATTTCGGCTTGCGTCGATAATACGATTACTACTCCCTTGTTGTCATCCACGTTTTCACGTATAACCCTACACTTGTGTATTTGTCGTCATTCACTTGATGCTCAGTTAATGAATTTGTTACAGGAACAATTAGTGGTAGCACCACTTATATTACCTGACAAAGGTTCCCATTTGGCATTTATTGTGTCTGGGGTAATTATTCAATCAAAATCCAGGTTTGAAGTGAGGTGAAATGTGTGTTATGTAATATGCACGTGGCAGCCCAGCAAGAGATGAATGATCAGTTGATTTACTTTTTTTTGTAAATCAACGGATCGTTCCTAGTCATCAAAGGATTAACAGAAAATACGTTGATTGATTAATCACTGTTAACTTGCACAATGGATATGTCAAGAGTGAGTGTTTACATGTCTAGGTTTACTAAAACAAAGGGAATACACTCATACCATGGCGCGAAGTGCCGATGTAAAAACAACATACTTTGTTCAAAGGGTTAACTAATAATACGTTGATTGATTGATCATTGTTATCTATCACTCAATGGAATTTTTAGGAACCGTGGACGCTATGAAAATAGTTGTCACGTGGGCTTTCTCAGCCGACCATTGAGACTTGACACCTATGTAAAACACCTGAAACAATCCAAGCGATCAGTTGAGAAACGAACACGGGTTATGATATCCCGAAACGATATATATCTTTTAAAATATTTGATTGTTACTGAGACACGTGACATCGAATAAGTTTCTTTGTACAGCTGCAGACGAGTTGGATATTGTTCCTTTTTGTGGATATTCACGGATACATTCCTCGAACAAGGAAGCTGCCTAAAACTTATACACATAAATTTGGTAGGTTGTAATTATGATATCTGCATTTTGTTTTCCTTCATTTGAACCGATTCGTTCTTGTTTCTCTACGTCTTGGTTGGGAAATTCTTCAATGCGCGATAGTCGTTGTTGTCACAGGTCTTTTCCTTTGTAAGCGTGTATATATTACCGTCTCAGGCAATTTATAAAATGTGTAAATATTTCAGTCATTTTGACTAAAAAATCTGTCCAGATTGATCAAGACGATCAAAAGGGCCTACAAACATCACAACAGATTATTATGTAGGATTAAAAGCCAAACAACTTAGAAATGTACTTTTCAACGTTACATTTTCAGTCTCTTGGTGATGACATTAAACATCAAAATGTTTGGAATTCGTTGTCATAATAATACAGATGGAAATGTTTTTCAGTCACTTTGTAAAATAACAGAATATTTAGACGTTTGATAAATTTGTTACACATTTGACAGTAAATATATACACACTATAAAAAAAGCATATGCTCAGGTGAAATATATACTTTGTGTTGCAAGTCAAAATAGTGTAAACGAAAATCGCAAAATTACCAAGCAAGTGACTTATCAAAACTTCGTCACCATTACCGATGCTACTCACAAAGATACCTACATTTCCTTATTATCTCGAAAACTGTATTTCATTTTGTTGATCAATGTGACCATACGCCCTTATTACTACCCATAAAAGTGACTAATGCGCTTATGAATGGCGCAGCAGAGGTCGCGAACTAGTCTAGATTTCTGCTATACATCCGGGTACTCACTGGGAAAAAACAATAACAAAGGCAACAACCAGTCCCGGGGAATTGCGTTAGATCAGTGCCCCTTTAATACGGGAAGAGACAGCCTTTGAAAATGATTCAAGATTTGGAAGACCTTCAACTGCCACTATTAAGGAAAATGAAGGTCAAATATACATTATATGATCATGTATGAAGGGCAATTCACCACCTCACACTGGCAATACAAACCCGTTCCCCTTTCATATCAAGTTGATATCCATGAGTAGAATAATATTGCTCTGTGACTGTCCCAAGTTTTACAAAGAAAAATTTTTCACTAGGGACACAAACTTGATATGAAAGGAAAACACTTGTTTTGTATCCCTTTTATTACCCAGGGTTAGAACCAAACTCAAAAGTTTTACTAGCCTGGGTAAAGATAAATTGCCCTTGTAATGCTAAAACAATGGGGACATTTGGACATTTGTACCAGCCTGGGGGAATTTATACTTGCCCCGGACTAGTGGGCAAGTGTTAATTTCTACAAGTGCTTGGTGAATGGAATAGCGACAGCATTACCTATCTACCTACCTATCCACATTGGTACTGGATGTAATTACAAATTTTAATTATTAAATTCATAAGCATGTTCTGTTGTGTTTCTGCATTGTGTTCAGGTGAACACTACTTCACACTAGGCTGTCGGGGTCTCAGCTGCATGCACAGGTTATTCCTCTGTTTGCCAATGTATTTAGATACATAACAATGATATGTAACCGTAATAATAGGATTGGACCTTGTATATAGAAGCTATTATCATTTACATAGAGAAGTAAGACACTGTGACAAACTGGGACGTAAACCCAAGAATAGAGATGTCCTCTATCTCGCATAGTGCTTGAGTGAGTGAGTGAGTGAGTGAGTGAGTGAGTGAGTGAGTGAGTGAGAGTCCTTCAGCCTGTCTCCTGTGAATGTTTACTAAGTAGGCCGCCTACCTGAAGGTGAGACTTTTTACATGTAGTATGCTAATAGATGTAATATATATTCATCATGGCCAGAAATATATGAAGTTTTGATTACACATAACTTTCTCAGACCTGTCAACCCCTCATCATGACAATGTGGGAGATTTGCCTTCAAAATGGGGGAGATTTGCCTCCAAAGGGGGAGATTTTTAAAATAGTGAAGATAAGATAATTTCAAACTTTTATTTTCATAATGTTACTAAGAAAACCAAATTTTTTGAAACAATAAATAATCAATAAGTTTCTTATACATACAGCTTGCTTAATTTCCGTTTGCATTTACCTCCTCCAAAAAAAACCCCAGCACCATCTACCCATAAAACTTTCGTTCAAAGATCATCTCAGATAAACGCAAACAGATATTGAAATTTCACAATCGG